CCCACTCCCTGTGCTTCAGCTGAAGCAGGATTCAAGAGCCAAATACATTTTTGCAGTCTGGTTTCTTTACAGAATCATGGAATAGTTAAAGCTGGGAAAAACCTTTCAGATCAAGTCCAACCATCAAGCCAGCACCACCACCATGTTCACCAATAAACTACATTCTCAAATGCCATATCCACATGGTTTTTTAACAGTTCTTGGGATGATGACTTTTCCACTTCCCTGGTCAAGTGCTTTGCAACAATTTCCAAGGAAAATTTTTCCGTAATATCCAGCATAAACCTACCCTGGTGCAGCTTGAGGCCATTCCCTCTCATCCTGCCACTTGTTATCTGTGAGAAAAGACTGACACCAACTCACTCCTTTCAAGTAGTTGTAGAAAGTTACCCTGTCCAGTGGTGGAACTTTATTACTTGACCCAAAAGGATTGTTCAGACCTGTGAACTTGGAACAAAACAAATGCAGTGGATTTTTCTGTGGAGCAATCTTTTTGTGGGGATGAAGAAGAATATCCCTAGTTCAGTGTGACAGGTTTGCAGGCAAGCACTAGGATTGCACACCTGGAAAAGGCTCTGGGTTCCAAATCATGCAGACACCTGCTTCAAAGAAATCCATTTGGCACTTTCAGCCTGTGGGATTTGTTTTGTATAATTTTCTGGAAGCTACCAAAACCTCCCAACCTCAAATAGGGAAGAGAAACTTCTACAAAGCCTGAGCAGGGCAGGAAAGAGACAACTTCTGTCCCAGCTAAGGGATACGAGAAACAAAAAAAAAAAAAAAAAAAAAAGAATGATTGCTGCTCTCACTTTCCCTTGAAAATGTAAAGGAATTCACTTTCTGAATGTGTGGTGGGTAACTGCAAATTGTTTTATGCCAGGCAGTTAAATGAGGCATGAATAACAACCAGTCTAGTGTGGATGTGTCACACTGACATCACCTGCTGTACCAGGGCAGGTGCCTGAACCACAGACAGCCAAAGCTTTGCTGAGTGGGAAAAAGATAACACATCAACAGGCATTTTTTGATTTATTCCTGATAGCAAAATACAACAATGTTTAGCAATGGAAGGTTTAAAAATATTAAAGACATAGTGGTAAGGTAAATTATTGAAGCTGAGTGGAACACAGTAAGTGCTATTTCATGCTGGTCCTGAACCAAGGACTGGAAAGTTTAAGGGATCCTTGAAGTATTGACAAAGTGTTTGACTTCCAGTTGAAAGAAATCATTAGGACTGGGGATTTTTTTAGTGTCTCTACCCCTTCAGAGTAGAAAAAGTGTAAAATGCACAACCTCTGAGGCTTTGGCTTTCAGTGTTCGTGACTTTGAGTAAACACGTTTGGATTAGTTTCTTTTTATAACCACAAATTAATGGCATGTAGATAGTGTCAGATTCCCTCTGTGAGTTTCTCATGGCAGAGGTGGATGTTCCTGCCTTGCTTAAGGTAAAATAGGGATCTTTATGAGCCTCCTGTTAATAATAACAACACCATTTGCATATAGGAAATGCAGACAGCAAAATCATCTCCAGGTACTTTTCTAGGTGCAGATTTCATGTCCCACAGCTCTGGTTAAGGTGACCTTCAGGGCAAAGAAACAATTTTGTGCATTTGCTCTCAGTTTCTGTTGTGTAGGTCTGAAATTGTACTTGGAAAGCATGAAAAAAAACCCCAAAAAACCAAACCAGCAAAAAATAAAAAAAAAAATCTTTGCTTCTTCCAAAAGCAAAAGGAAAGTGGTTTTTCATTGGTTTTAATGCTAATATCTGATCTAAACACACTTTGTCAGTTTGAAGCCATTCCCTGGCTCCTGGCCCTGCAGCCCTTGGCAATTGTCTCTCTCCAGCTTTCCTGGGGCTCCTTCAGGCCCTGCAAGGCCACCCTGAGCTCAGCCCAAAGCTTCTCCTGGCCAGGCTGAACAATGGCAGCTGGGCCAGCCTTTGCTGCCAGCAGAGCTGCTCCATCCCTCTGCTCATCCTGGAGCCTCCTCTGGGCTCTCTCCAGCAGCTCCAGCTGCTCCCTGGGCTGGTCCCAGGGCTGGGGCAGCTCTGCAGGTGGGGTCTCACCTGAGCAGGGCACAGGGACAAACCCCTCACCTCTGTCCACGCTGCTCTGGATGCAGCCAAGGACACATTTGCCTTTCTGGGCTGCAAGGTGACATTTCCAAGGGCAGGTCCAACCTCTGACCCACCAGTTCATCCCCAGGTCCTTCTCAGCAGGGCTGCTCTCCATGGCTGGGTAAGGATGGACAGCCCTGGTCCATGGCTCCTTCAGTGGCCACTTTGGGACTCTCCAGAGCTTTCCCAAAGCTGTCCCAGCTCTGGGAGCCTGCTGGGCAGCGTGGAGTGGAGCAGTGGAGACACCATCAAAGTGGCTCTTAACGAGACGCGAGGGCACTGAGGAAAATTCAGAGCCGAAGGGTAGCTGGGAGAGAAAGGGAACTCAGTAAGTTATACCCACCCCAAAATGAGCTGCTGATCACTGGAGCTATTGTGAGCACTACAATAAATCAGTGTCTGCCCCTGCATCTCATTATGCACAGAGATGTGGATGGAGAATGTCAGCATCAATGGCATCTGTCATGTGAGCGCTGCCGTGGCCGAGTGGGCTGGAGCTCGCATGGTCAGCCAGCTTTGTGCTTTCCCTCCTTCTTTCTGGGGAATTATCTGTTTTCTCCTGGAAATCTTGATTTGCTCTGTCCTGTGGGTAGTAAATTTGCCCTTTCCCTCGATGGTTTGTGGGTTCAGTGATGATAACATTGTATTTAAGGTGCGGGGGTAAAATACCTTTCGTGTGTGTCATATTTAGTGATTTTTGGTTTGTTTTTTTTTCCTCCTCCGTGTATGGTGCCATGCATATCACAGAGGCTAAGGCAACACCTACATGTATTTATGCTGATCTATAGTGCCCATTGCTCAAACATCACAGGCTGCCTGAAAGGCTAATTAATTCAAGCCCTGCAGCACCCCTTTGAGGCAAATTTTGTCGGTCCTGATAGATGCACATCTCTTTGTTGTTTATTTTTAATATGATTTCTATGCCAGAGAAGGGGGAGAAGTGAATAGTTTGTACTTTGCTAGGTAGTTGAAAAAATGTTAGGCTTTTGCTATCATTGAAATGAAGTATGTAGCAAACTTTGGATTTTTATTGCAGTGCCTCAGAGGTTCTTATTTTCTTTTAAAGCCTCAGCTCCTGGAGCCAAGTGAACTTGTGGATGTCCTTTTGTTCTTAGATGTCTCTGTCTAGCTCATGTGGTTACAAAATAAATTTTAATGTATTGTCTTTGCTTAATCTAAAATCTGGGATGCAGCGAGGCACTTGGCTAAGGTTGTTGGTTTGTTTCTTTTTAGTCTTAAAATTTCTGCAAGATTAGGGCTGGGAATACCAATGACAGAGTGTGCCTCCAGTTCAGAAGAGATTCTCAGAAATTGCTGGTTGGTTTTGTATTCTTGTTTAAATTTCAGAGTTCCTCAGTCCCATACTATATTAAAAGGGTGAAAGGAGGGTAACCATCACCTCCCTCCTCCTCTATGAGCAAACTAAAGATGTTTTTAAACATTGACTCACACTTTTGGTCTATGCTCAGTCTTATTAGAGAAGGATTCAGCACGTATTTTTCAAATGCTTTATCCTCCTTTGTGTTTACATTCATTTCTGAGCTCAGCCCTTCTTCTCCACTTCCTTTGTCAACACCAAGCTTGTTTCCCTGATCAGGTTCTCTCTTGGCCTCCCCATATCCCCTTCCCTTTGTAGATCCCAAGCCACATCACATCTTAAGGAGTGATGGGGACTACCAAAGGGGCTGGTTTGAGCTGGCTTTAAGCCATGGGCAACCAGATCTTCATGTCTCGCTCCCTCCTGCAGGAAAATTCTTAATTCTTTAATATTTTTCTGGGGAACAGGTGTTTTAAGCCAGTTTGAGACTGTGTTGTCACCAAAAGAGGGAATCAGCCTTTTCTGGTTTCCACTCCTAAATACCCATTTGAGTAGCTGTCTGATATGGCAGATTGCAATTTTTTCTTGGTATCTGGGGGTGAGGAACCTGATCTGATTTACATCCCAGCCCTGTGGCTTTGCCAGAGAGGCCTGGGAAGCATCCAGCCAAGAGCAGGGGAGAAGTGTGACCATTACTTTTGGTAGCAGCAGAATCTCTTACTGACTTAAATTTACCATTTAATGGCCCTGTACCTGATGGAGTTTCCAGGTGCCACTGAAAGAAGTGATCCTGCATGTGGCTGCAGTTTCCTTCAGCTGTGATGCACCAGCCTGGTTACCTGAGCTAGATGGGGAAAGGACAGGTCCTGTTTCGTCCATGTGAAAATTTTCAGCCTAAATCGCCCTCCCAATTAACCAAACAAGTGGCCCCCTCTTAGACCACCTTTCAATGGTGGTGTTAATCCTCATTTTTAAAGGTGGTAAAGGCTGTGGAAGCTGCTCAGGATGAGCTGGGCATGGCTCCTGTGTTTTCCAATCCACAAGGCAGCTGTGTGCTTCTGCTTATTTCTGTCCAGACCTGCACTCAGCCCCTACCGTGAGATCTCACGAGCTCTAAGACAAACAGGGCTCTAAGCAGTCCATAATTCAGTCTGTGTCCTGGACAGGTTGCCAACACTCATGGGTTGGGCCGAAAGAAATTTGAGATGATCAGGAATTCATCTGCTGTGCAAATGTGGGCTTAGGCCAAAAAGGAATTTGAGATGATCAGGAATTCATCTGCTGTGCAAATGTGGGCTTGGCGGGTTTTCCCCCTTCCAGGAACAGGACTATTTTAACTCATTTCAGCATGATCAGCTGTTTTGGATGGGCTGCAGCAGCAATTTCCCCAAAAGTGACACTAAATTTATTACTCAGGGCAGTGCTCACCATGATTTTAAAACTGGAGGCAGTTTAGACAAAAGCTGTGATTTTTTTTGTTGTTGTTGTTGTTGTTCATTTGTTTAATTGGATATGCAAATCACCTCTCCTGTCTTTTCTCTCTCTTTTTTTTTTTCTTTTTGGCAGTTAAATATTCTGGTTGACACTGGGAGCAGCAATTTTGCTGTAGCAGGTGTGCCTGATGCTGATGTCACATCCTACTTCAATCCTGAGCTGTAAGTACCTGTTCTGCACCCATGGTGGAAATTAGGGGGGGTCTCTTGATTCCTGGCTCCTCCATGCAAGACAGGATGATAAGGCAGCTCCTGGGGCTCCTGTGACATCCCATGGGAGTGGGATGTTGGTTGCTGGTGGGAATTTTGGCAAAATCCTACCTGACACCGTGAGCAGCCCCACACAGCTGAGCTCTGAGTGAACATCAGCAGCGCTAATTAGAACTGGAGAAAAGAGAAGCTGATTACAGGGTAAAAATTGTTTGCAAAATCACACCAATTTCAGCCAATTTCTTACCTGAATAGACTTGCAAGGAATTAAAAGTTTCAATCTGCCTTGCCTTTGTTTGAAAACAAAAAATTAAAAGCCGGTAATTGTATCAGTTACTTGACATTTCATCCAGAAGCAAAATTACTTAGTCAAAACCTAATTTGTTGTTCAGTTTGGCCACAGGCCTCAATCAGTCAGGGATCTGGACAGACCCTGATGAATCTGGTTATTCATAAAATACAACTTGGTGGTTCTGGTGTTTGTTATGCACTCAATTTTTTGTGTTTAGCATAAGCTGACATTAATCACAGCTCAGCTTTGTCTGTCTGAATCACGCTTGCTCTTTTTCTTCCTTCCTTTCTGCCTTTCTCTAGTTTCAATTATTTCAGGTAAAATTCTCCAAAATGCAGTGTCTATCTTTAGCTGAAGCATATGGATAAAAATGCTAAGAGTGCTGGGAAACTGGAGAGTATCACCTTTCTCACTACCTCATCTGTGTTTTAACATGGGGTTTTACACTTTTTTTCCAATCAGATGCACTGGGGATGGAGGGAAATCTGTTATTTCCATGCTGCTTACTAGAGTAGCCTCACCTCCTGTCTTATCTTTAGATGTTAATGGAGGTATTTCACATCATGCTGATATGATGCAGGTCTGGAAAATCGGGAATTTGCACTTGGTAGCTATTTCTGCACTACTGCAGGGTTTTCCCTGCCTGCCAGCTATCCCCTTCCATAGGCAGTGGCTAGAGAAAACTTAATTGCAAGAATTAAAAGCACAAGCATTCTTTCTCCCTTGTCTCTTAATTGATGTTATTGAGGCTGGAAGGACAAGGCCTCTCTCATTAGAAACAGCAACAGCAGAGCTTGTGTGTGGAGAAAGACAGACTGAAATCATGTGAAGGTTACAGCCTCTGATCGGTGTTCTCCGTGGATGCTGTGTTTTGAGAACTTTGATATAAGGCTAATAATGAAACCTTGAAGTGCAGGCCCTGAAGAGTTAGTTAAGGGTGCTTTGTGAAATTACTCAAAATCAAGTCATTACAGTCCAGAGCAATTGCAGCAAGAGTTTCTGGTTTGGGTTGCACTCCTGGAGCCCTGCAGCGTGCTCAGAATACAAACATTAGCAGACTCCTGGGTACACCATGCTTCTTCCATTTTAAATATTGTAACTACACTTAAATAAATAAATTGGAGGGATCCTGGCCCCAATGAAATCAGGTAGATACTCAAAAAATGTTGGTTGCAGGAAAGCTCTGTGTGTCACACATCCCAAATGAGCTGGGGCTGTCACCAGAGCAGGTGAGCCATGGCTGAGGCCAGCCAAGTCCTGTGCACCCCCGAGGATGGAGAATCCATACTTTGTCCAGGCAGAGTGTTCCAGTGCCATGCCACAGTCTCCTGGGGAAGAAATATTCCCTGTTGTCCAACCTGAACCTCAAAAAATGTGACTCATGGCTGTGACAGTCAGCATGTCAGCTGCTCCCTTCAGTGCTGATCAAATCTGCAAATCTGAGTGTGCAGTCTGTCCTTCACACAGGCTCTTGATGAAGACCTTCACAGAACCACCGAATTATTTAGGTTGGGAAAAACCTCCAAGACCATTGAGTCCAAGCTGTGACCACTCCCCACCTTGTCCCCAGCCCAGAGCACACCCAGGCCTTCCTTGGACACCTCCACCACCTCCCTGGGCAGCCTGTTCCAATGTTTAACAAGCCTTCCCATGATGAAATTCCTCCTGGTGTCCAGCCTGAGCCCCTCTTAACACAGCTTGATGCTGTGTCCTCTCATCCTGTTGCTGTTGCATGGGAGAAGAGAGTGACTCTCACCTGGCTGCACCTTCCTGCCAGGGACTTGTCAAGAGTGAGAAAGTCTCTCCTGAGCCTCCTTTTCTCCAGGCTCTGGGACAGTTTTTCCTCCACTCACAACCCCTGGGGCTCTGTGCTTGTCACAAGGCTGTGGCTGTTTTGGAGCCAGGGGTGCAGCTCATCTTCAGCCCACACCAGGGATGGTTTGTTCAGCCCCACATCCTCAGCTTCCAAATGGGAATGCCATGGGAGGCGGTGTCTGAAGCCTGACTGAAGCCAAGATGTGCCACAGGCACTGTCCTCTTCATCTGTGCATCCAGCTGTGCTGCAGGAGGCAGTGAGATTGGTCAGGTGTGATGTGCCTGTGAAATCCCTCCTAGAGTGTCTGTGCCTGCACGACTGTCCTTCACCTGCTTGGAAACAGATTCCAGGAGGTTTTATTTGAGACTTTTCCTGACTGGAGGTGAAGCCCAGTCACCTCTGCTTCCTTGGGTGCTGGTCTCTTTTTGAGACTGGCTTTAAGACAGACTTTTCCCAGCAGTCAGAACACCTTGCCTGGCACTGTGGTTTAAACCCCGATGGCAGCTCAGCCCCACACAGCCACTCACTCACCCCTCCACCATAACCCCAAACATTTCCCCCTGCTTCCCCCAGCTGTATATGCTGAGCATGGCACCGTGGTGTGGGATATCCCTGGGGATATCCCTGGGGTCAGCTGTCCTGGCTGTGTCCCCTCCCAAATCTTCGTGCACACCACGCCTGGCGGTAGCAGGGTGGGCTGAGAGGGGAAAAAAGGCCTCAGCTCTGTGCAAGAGCTGCCCAGCAATGACAAAAACATCTCTGTGCTTCAAGTCTGTTTTCAGCACAAGCCCAGAACACAGCCTGTGCTAGCTACTGTGAAGAAAATTAACTCTGTCCCCAGCCCAAAGCAGCGCACTGGGTTGTCATGATTTTGCAGGAATGGTAAACAGGGGCATTGATATCACATCAGCTGGATCTGTAAAATTACCCAAGAGCGACCTTTGCCCACCTGTAAATGAGAAAAACGACCTATGGGCACTTTTCTTCCTTCCTAGGAGGAACACTTAAGATTAGATAAAGGGGTTATCTCTCATCTGGTAATCACTCCTGCAGTTTTTCCCTATATTGCCGTGGAGTGCTTCCGACGTCTTAAACTGCAAGTTGAAAACAAGGGGAAAGAAAGATTAGCAATTTGTTAAATTAATGGGTTATGAGTTATAGATGTGTGCTCATTAGAATATTCATGTTGTGTTGGAGAGAGTGATGGGTCTTAATTTCCTGATGCCACAGTCTTAATTTAATTTTATTCATATGATCAAAATCAGAAATTGAATGCATGATTCTTTTTGGATTGAAATTGAGGGGGGTGCACGGGAAAGGCATTATCTTTGTTTCAAAGGACCCAGGGAGTGTGTTTTTCTGTAAGAGCCCTCCTGGAGCAACTCCAGAACTAACTTGTTAAATGATGTTGTGTATCATATAATCTATGTGATACAATCCTGCTGTTTAATTATCTGGCTCTTTTTGTGCAGAGCGAGTAAAGCTGTTACCACGCACTCTTTCACAACCTGGGCTTTTGAGTGGCTCTGACAAACCTTTGCTGTGAAAAGTTCTGACTTTGCTGTGATAATCATGCTCTGTAAGTCACCACGATCTATGAGGTTTTGCAAAACGACCTGATTTGTCCTGAACTGAAAAGAAATCACGGTGTTTGTTTCTCGTGCTGTTCAAAATAACAGGTAGTTTTGTTGAGTACTCTACTTATGATGAAAGAGCTACTTAAACAGACATATAAAGGAATTTTTACACTTGAACCCAAGTGATCAGTGATGGCTCTGCAGCAGTATGTAAATCTGACCTGCTCAGGGCTTTCAGTATTCAGGAGCAGTATTCAGTTTTATTTCAGTAAATAAATAAAAAGTACTACTGCCTCACCATCTGAAGGTTCAAAAGCAAGCTGCTCAGGAGTTGATCTTTCCAAGAGATATGGAGGTAATAGAAATACAGGCCATAAATTGAGGTAATACGATAAGTTATATAGCGCCAAACAAAAGAAATCGCTGCTTTTGCAGTGTGATCCTGCGAGGTTGGTTGTGTGTACTGGACAGGTTGTGGTTTGGGGTGAATTATAAACTTTTTTGTGGAAGCCCTGCAGCTTAGATGAGACTTTCTTGGTTAGGAATCAATAATTTCTGCTGTATTTTCATGTTTGCTTTGTCTTAAAGTTGTTTGGCGAGGCCGGTGTTACAGGGCTCCCTGCATGTGGTGGATTTGCTGTTCCACTTTGAGCTTGCTGCAAAGGGATGGTGACATGAGGAATGAGATTTTGGTTGTGTTCCCTTGGGTGCTGTGGGCTGGTAATGAGGATTAGCTCTGCAAGAGAAAGTTACCCCATTGCTGGTTTGCTCAGCTGGGGCTTGAGATCTGTTTGAGGTTTGAGGACCAAGTTTCTGGTGGCTGCTGTGGGGAGAAGATAGGAATGGGAAGGAGAGAGAGAAGGGACTAGGGTTACTACAGCACCATGATCTAGGAGCCCTTATTCCTTGCCTCTGGCTAAGATACACTTTGTCCTGCTGGAAGAGGTGAATTTTTAATTTTCTCATCGCAGCCAAAGCAGCTTGTTTGTAATTTTCTTTTCTCTGCTGTGTGTGTTTGTTTTAAAACACTCGGCCCATGAATTACAACAAGTCTCTAGTTTTGACCTCCAAAGTTTTCTTCCTTTAGATCAGCGAGGTGGAAAGGTGAAAAAAAAACAGAGTGGCTAATCACCTGCAAGAGGGGGCAGGAAGTGGTTTTGCAGAACAGAATATAATTTACTGCAAGATCCCTTCCCACGTTACCGGTTTTGCTCCTTGAAGGAAGTAATAAAGTCTTTCTTCAATATGACATCTGTGAACTTTACAAATGAGATGAGTGTCTTCATATCCATTTCTACAGGTGGGGAAGCCGAGGCACAAATGGTGAGGAAGGGACTTGCCTTGCATTTCCCCAGGAAAGGTCACCAGCTGTGCTGGAAAATGAATCCAGTCTTTCTGTGTCCCGGTCCACAGCTCAATCCATCAGGCTCTTCCTGCTTCTGGAAGAGGAGCTGGGTGCTGCTGCTGTTCTAGTCATGCACTGCTTGTATTTGCAGATTTGCTTCGCTTTATTCTCCCAGCGCTCAATTTTCTCTCTGATTTCAGATATTTCCTCTTCTGCTGCTCAGCCAGACACTTTTCTACATGAAGAACCCTGTATTTCCCCTTTCATTTCCTGCCCCCCAGTTTCCCTCATGCTGCTAATTATTCAGACTCTATTTTGATTTATAAAATGTACTGCCAGTGGCACTGAGGTGTTCTGAAGACCCTGCCTGAGCAGAGATGTTCCTTTGTGTGTCATACAAATGCAGAATTACACAGGAGCAGTGGAAGTGATCAGATGCAGGTAATAACAGTGTCTCTGGAATCCCCTGCATTTTGAAATATTATCTCATGTATTTCTGCTGATTTAGATGTTAACCCTTGAAGGGCTAGGCCTTGGGAGTGTCAAGAGCTGCTTAGGGTTAGAGCCTGCCCCCTTCCCTTCCTCAGTGAGGAAGAGTCAGTTCCATGGTCCATATGGCCAAAGTGTCCCTCAGGAGAAAGTGTTTGAATTACAGCATTTGTCCACGTTGCCATCTGAAGTTTGTTCCTCACAATAACAAAAATCACCCCAAATTCCTGCTGGTGAGCTCAGGCACAAAGGCCTGTGGAGCCACTTCATGTGTCTGCTAGATTAAAGCAGGATTGATCAAAGTATCTGCACCTGATAAACCCTTGCACTTTCTATCGCTCTACACACATGTAAAGATGCTGTTATAAATTTATTTTATGGGGTTTTTTTTCCCCCTTTAATTTACTTTCCAAAAAGCTATGAAAAGTCTCTTGAGATGAACTGAGTGTGGTCATCTGCCTCTCCAAAAGGGGAAGCTGTGTGCCAAGGAGAGGACCCAGAGTAAATTGTGGGGGATCTAGAACTTTTGTAGCTCCTCAGTAGAGATGTGGGTGGGATATTATTGCAATATGTATGGATTAGACATCTTTAAAATGAAAAATCTACTGAAGATTTTGCTAATGTTTTTGTTAAGCCTTTTTTAAACAGGATTCAGTTCCTTCCTTTGCTTACCATACTCCACTGCTACTTTGCCATTGCTTCCCTGATCTAGAAAAATTTTGTTCCTTTCCTCCTCCAAGTCAGTAAATCATTTGTTAATAATATTAAATTCTACTTACTTCCTCACAGATAGGCCAAACTGCAGATTTAGGAAACCTCTGTCTTACTGCTAATACTCACAATAATATTCCAATTTACTCAAAACTGATCTTTTAGGAATATTAATGAGGAATTAGTCTACAGCTATTCAGTTAGCTTGGCATTTCAATTTTAGATTTGAATTCAGCAGCTTTCCATTTTCTAGTGGCATTTACTGAATTCCTTCTCCAGTTAAAAGAGTGTTGCTCCTGTGGAGCAGTCTGAGTCAGGGACACTGCCCTAGGTGACATGATACCTTAGATTATTTATTTTATAAAGAAAACACATTGTGAAGATTTGAGTTATTGATGGCTTCTGGATAAAAATAAGACCTTGAGTTTTGTTTTGGGTTTTTTTTTTTAATTTCTGCTTCTTCCTGATTTTACAAGCAGTACGAATACATATTTTTCATACTTAATTTACTTTTTTTTCCCCCCCCTCTCTCTGGGCACAATTGAGCTCGAATATATTCTGCTGTCTTGCACAGTAAATGAAGAGTGGTGCCTCAGTGTGTCCTTTCCTTTCAAAGGTCGAGCACATACAGATCTCAAGGGGTTGAGGTGACAGTGAAGTACAGCCAAGGCAGCTGGACGGGAGTGCTGGGCACAGATGTCATCACCATGCCCAAGGGACTCTACGGCAGCTACACCATCAACATTGCCACCATCCTGGAGTCAGAGAACTTCTTCCTGCCAGGGGTTAAATGGCACGGGATCCTTGGTCTTGCCTACGATGCCTTAGCCAAGGTAAAGCATCTGTCTCCTCACAAGGACAGGAAATAGAAATGTTAGGCTCCACCCTTCCAGCCACCCTTTCCTAGGGATCTTCTGTCTTTGTTGCAGAAAGGATAAATGGGGTTGTGATGGTACCACAGTCCCACGTGAGGGGTTTGGCTTTTCTGCTGACAGAAATGCTGATTTTAGCTCCTCTGGAATGAATGAGCTTTGCTGATTTTAGCTCCTCTGGAATGAATGAGCTTTTACAGAGCTTGTAGAACCAGAGTGTGGTTGTGGGATGTGTGTGGAGGGAGGCATCAGAGCTCTGAGGATAACTTCTCCAAACTGGTCCAAGGCAAAGCCCTTGGCAGTTCATTCTTGCACATTCTCCATTTATCAAGTAAAAGTTGAGGTGGGTGGATAATTTCAGCACAAATATTAGCTACAGGATTTCCAGGAACATAGAACCAAGCACATCCTGCTCCTCTGGAGGCAGGAAATTCAGGTAGAAGATTCAATTAAAACCTGAAATTTACAGTCCACACTGTATAACCTTAAAATCTAAAACTGGAAACGTGATTGGAAAACTACAAAGTTACAATTTTCAACCTTCACATCCCAAAGTGAGTTCTACCTAGACAGAACAAACGATTCAGCACTGCCTGACGAGTCTGCTTTATTCCAGAGCCGTGTGGGAGTTTTTATTGACTTCATGGGCTGTCAGTGGGAAGGGAAAAGGGAAGGGAAGGGAGGAGTTACAATTCAATAGTGTTGAAAAACTGAAAATCTTGACTTTAAAATCCTGCTTTTTTAACTATGGAAAGGTGTGAAAAGCAAGGTATGTTTGAGTGTTCTAAAAACACAAAGCCTTTTCCAAAGAGAAATTATCGGTGAGAGTTTCTGCCTGAAACTGGTGTTTGGGTTTGGAAACTGCAATTGAAAATTACTCCTGTGTTTTAGAGATCTGGTGGCAGCAGTGCTGACATGGGTCAAAAGTAAAAATGTTTTTAAAAACAGCAGAAACAGAAAAATGACAGATATTGGGGTTTTAATGGCTTATTATGTCTAGAACTTTCATCAGCTGCCTGTCAGAAATTCAATTTACTCATGAAAAGTGGTCTTGTTTGAATGATTTGCTGATTTCTGTGAAGAAACTTGCTAATGAACCCTGCAATTCTTTGTTTTTATTTTTTTTTTCCCCTGTTTGTTTGTTTTGCTTTTCAAGCCCTCGAGTTCTGTGGAGACATTCTTTGATTCCCTCGTGAGGCAGGCAAAGATCCCCAACATTTTCTCCCTGCAGATGTGTGGTGCTGGACTCCCTGTTTCTGGAAGTGGTACCAACGGAGGTAGTCTTGTGGGTATCTGTCAATAGGAGAGGGAAGATGTATCTTTGTTCATCTCTCTCCCTCTTTTCTCTGACTATCCTGCTTCTGCCAAATTCAGTGTTTAAATATATTTTCATATTTTAAAGATGTTTTCTAATTTTTTTAAAGGAAAGCTAAGCCCCTGGGCGAAATTTGAGTGTTATTTATTTTCATTCTCAATTCTTTTTTTTTTTTCTCTCTCTCAAGTTTGAGTAAACTTTTCATCTTTTAACAAAGAAAAACATGAATGTTGTGCTGTTTCCTCAGGGCAGATTCTGCTATATTTCTCAAACTGAGCAGTCCCTTATTCAGCTGATAAATTTGTTCAATCTCATCAAAATGCTACAGTAATTTATTTTTTTTTACATGATGTGAAAAGGGGGAGAGGAATCAAGGGGCTTTTTCTTTTTTTTTTTTTATTTTGTCAACAACATATTAAAGGGAAAAATCTGTAGATCAGATCTCCTGCTTGCTTTTACTCTGGGAAGTCTTTCCATCATCTTTAGTGGGATCATGAATTGGCCCATGATTCTTCTGGAATTGGGAGATGGAATGACTGTTCCCAAATGATGCTGAAACATCTCAGCACAGGAGCTGATCACAAATACTTATTTTGAAGAGAATTCACATATTGTAAATGTTATTCATACAACTGAAGACCAAGAGAGAAATTTTTTTAGGTTTAATTCAGAGTCAGAAAGTCCACAAATGCTCCCAAGCCATCCTCAGCCTAGGTTTTGATGGAAGCTAACAGTGATGGCAGTGACAGGATGGGATTCCATTTTGGACATGTGTAAGAAAAACTGAAATCTTCTTGGACAGTATTAAAGCTTTTCTGATCTGATAAAGCAGATTTTTCACATGCAAGTTCATTATTCTGCCCCGTTTTTATACATTAGATTTCTTCTAACCACTGAAGATACTGTTTTAATTTTAAACAGTGGAGTTTTCATCATAGAATCAGTGTGAGGTTGTAGGTGAAAATGCTGATAATTTGGCCCAGCATGGGTATTCTGTTAAATGTCTAAATGTTTCATACTGCTCTATTATTGACAGAAACCTTGACAGTAAAATCCTAATAAATGATGTTAAATTAAAACCTGGATGCCCCTGAGCATCACAATTAAATATCCCCCTTTTTGTGTGCCCCAAAACCAAACAGGTGGGATTTTAAAGCGTGTGACTTCTTCCCTCCTTTCCCTCAGGTGCTGGGTGGAATTGAGCCGAGTCTGTACAGGGGGGATGTCTGGTACACACCCATCAAAGAGGAGTGGTACTACCAGGTTGAAATCCTCAAACTGGAGGTCGGGGGACAGAACCTGGAGCTGGACTGCAGAGAGGTATCGGCCCTTCTGTGTTCCTCTGGGAAATCCAGGTTTGCCTGAGGAAAAAGCCCCTCCTTGGTCAGTTTTGTCTTGGCAAGCAGATGTGCATGGCAGTCTCCTGAGAACTGAATTAAAGCAATTCTGGTCAAACAAAGGAAATGGGAGATTTTGGATTGGCCCCTGTGGAGCTGTCTAAGCTCACAGCTCATGATGGCAGTGGACAGGTGTCACCCTGGGTTGCTTTCTAAAGATCTCATCCCAGGCTTCCTTTTTTATTTTATGTTTTTGCAATCAACTTTTGCTCTCTTATGGTTGGCAGTTATTGTTCCTGATGGATAAGCCTTCTGTTTCTATTAGGAATAATGTTCTGCTGTATCTGGATCAGTCTAATGAGACTGTGCTGTTGCAATTTTTATTCCAAAGCCATTTCATTTTTTCTTTTTTTTTTTTTTTTTTTTTTTTGTGGAGGATATATGTGTATGTGTGTGTTTTACCTCTTTCTTACCTTGCTTGTTGCTACTCCTGTTTTGGTTTTAGTTCTGTATTTTTTATGCCCCAATTTCTTTGGACATCCTAATTTCATTTTACTCTCATGCTCTTAGTTGGAGATCAATGGGACATGGTAAGTTTAAAGTTATTATAGTTCATATAAATTAACTGAAATCCATTATTGCAATATTACATGTGCATAAATATTATATTTCCATGCAAAATATTGAAATCATATTGCCGTATCAATTATTTAAAATGAGTCACAGCATCTTTCAACTCAATAAGCAGAACAAGGTCTGTTTAAATGCTTCTATTGTGCTGTTAGGAAAGCAAAACCACTGATCCTTTAAAGTAAATGTTTGCTTTTCTTTCTTGCCTTAAAAAACAGTCAACATGTTTTTGAAGGGGAGCCCTTCAGTGGTGTAATGCATGCTGTTGCCAGAAAACAGCTCACTGAAAAATTCAGTGGTGTGTCAGGAAAGTTTCCTGTAATTGTTGCTCTTTTCTGAGCCAGGGGTTGCTTGCAGTGGTGCAGAAGGATCAAACCTTCCCGGATCAAAGGAGACCTTCCCACAGAAATGCAGAGGAAGAGCAGTAAAATCAGAGCAGCACAATTAAAGTTTGGCTGGTTCGGAGCTCGCAGAGGATGCGTGATTCACTCCGGGATGAGGAGCTGTGTGCCCTCTCTCCTCTCTGCTGTTTTCTAGGAAATGGAACACTTTTTTCACAGCCTTCACCAGGGACTGCTCCTTTCCTTGCCAGGGAGAATTTCCTTGCTTCAATGCTGGGAATGTGCCCGGAGCTCCACCACAGCTGTGGCCCTGAGCCTGGCAGCCAGGGCTGGGAGAAGTCCTGCCAGCAGTGCACTTTGCACTGGTAAATATTAACCAGGAAAGCCAAGAAGGCAAAACCTGGTGCTCAGCCTTTGTGTGAGCAATCCCGCTACTCCCAGATTTTTGCACAGGTTTACATCCATGGCCAACCCTTTAAACTCCTTTTTTTCTCCAAGGTTGGCATTCCAGGCTGCCAGTGATTGCATATTTTGTGGTACAGATCTGTTAAAATGGACTCCAAAATGCCTTGGCATTTCTTTCCACTCTTTAGAAGTATTATTTATTGTAGTAAATGGTTTCCAGTTTGCTTTTCTCTCAGCTCTGTGTGGCAGCCCCATAGCAGCTCTTCCAAAAAGAAATGTGGAAATAACTGTCAGAGTTAGTTTTTCTTACTTTTTTTGGTGGGTTTTATTTTTGTAAAGGGGCTCCATGTGACTTGATAACATCTAAACCAGTGTATTTTAAATTCACTTGCTGTTTGACCTCTTCCTAAGTAGCTTAGGCTGTATATCATCCTGTGTCTTATGATTATGCCATAAACATGTCACAGTTCAGTTATATTAATCCTGCTGCCTAAGCTGGCAGCAAAAGTAGTTAATGCAAATAGCTGCCACTGCTACTTGCCTTTTTTTTCCCCTGCAGTTAATCATAGTTTTTAAGGAGTTCATGAAAAAAGATTTACCCTTTAAAAAGTTTATACCTCATTTACCATACCTGAAATTTGATGAAATCTCTTCATTTTAGGGTTGAATTTTTAGTAATAAGAGATCTGTTTGCTATGGGTGTTGTTATAATTTTTTTGTGCAGATTTTAGGGCAACAAGACTGAAAACTTCAAGTTTCTTGGTTTTTTTGTGTCTTTAAGGGCTTTTCAGCAGTCAAGGGATAACAGTGTGGCATTTGTACTCTTGAGCCAGTACAGACAAGTAATAAGGCCTAATTTTTTCTGGTTATTCATATATTAAATATGCCAGCCATTAAAACAGGCTCTGTGTTTAAATTAGAGTTGTACCCATGCTAGCAGAGACCTTGATTCAGGGCTTGGAAGCAGCATCAGAGTGTTTAACACCTCTCTACTGAATATTAAAGTGCTGAGAGGGGCCAGACATCACTTTTTTACTGCAGCAGGACCACTTGCACCAGCTGTGGTGACACAGTAATTTCCTGACCGGTACAGATAAACCCACTCTTGTGTCTAGGCTGATGGTATCTTGCTTTTTTTCTTTTTTTCTTTTGCTCTCAGATTTCACTGGAATTGAAGGTGTCAGCTGGAGAGAGCTGCTGACAAGTTATGATATGCAGTTCTGGGAAGGCAGCTGCCAAAAAGGAGCAGCTTTGTTCTGGTTAGGAGACAGTGGGATCTGCCTCACAGTAACTACAGCCTACAACTTCTCTCTTTTTTTCCCTCCCCTCCCCAGTACAATGCTGATAAAGCCATAGTAGACAGTGGAACCACTCTCCTTCGACTGCCAGAGAAAGTCTTCAGTGCCGTGGTGCAGGCAATAGCTCGCACGTCCCTGGTAAGAAAATGCCATGAAACCTGCTCAAAAAAATGTGAAATTCCTTTCCACAGGGATCACAGGGTCTTTGAAAGGAGTGTCATCTCTGCTGCCTGCCTGCAAGTCGTGGGTTTTTCACCTGAGGGGAGCAGAACCTTCCCTGGTCTAGCCCAGTTAATAAAGGAGAAATGACTGATGGCCTTTGATGGAAAGGAAGAAGTGGGAAAAAAAAAAAAGAGAAATAGGAAGAGGGAAAAGGTGGGGGGGGCACAAGTGCAGACAAGAAATGTGTGTGTGGAAATGCATCAGAAATAAGGGAGAGACAGAGTATTTTATTCTAAGTGTTTCAGAAACATGGACATAATCCCTGTTGCTCTGATTCAAAGCATTGGGAGTGCAAAAATCAGTCTTTCCATTCAAAACAGAGTGTTTATAAAGTAGGAGAACCTGCTGCTGCAAGCAGTTCTTTTCCAAGTATAATTCTTAGTGCTGTCTAGAATAAATGCCATTCATTAGGATTATTCATATCAATAAAGCTGCTTTTGACCTTCATTATTGAATTATTTATGTTCAAAAGCATCTTTCTTTGGAAACAGAGTGGGCTTTAGAAGTAGGGCATGGGGATGGTGGAGTTCTCTGTGTGTGGAGTGGCTGAAGCAGCATTTTCTGGTTAATAAAAACTATTCATAAATTTCTGTTCAATACAAGGAACAGCACCAAGAAGGTTAAAGAGGGAGAATAAACACCAGCTATTTCAGTGTGAACAAACTGGATATTTTTGTCATGGACTCACAATCAGACAGTGGTTGTTGATGCAAATCACAGGAAACACAGTAAGCAGCTGCCCCAAAGACAGAGTGTTTGCCTGTGTGCTGATAATTCAAGATTGAGATCCTTTTTTCCCACTTGATTGAGAGCAGAGATTTGGCATGAAGTGTTCTTCACTGCCTGCAGATGTCCAGTATCTGAAATAAATGTACCAGTTACGAGTTCTTCTCTTTGCACAACACTTAAGTGTTGGCTGGAACAATTTCAGTGCATGTGGGGGAGAACTGAAAGAAGCCACTCCAAGAGCTCTTGTAAGGTCACCCTGTGGGTGAGGAATCCTCGTGGGAAGTGGGTCACAGTGGTCCACACTCCCCTCTGATGTTGGCCAGGACATTTGAACTGGGGCCCTCCACCTGACAAGGAAACAGTGGACAGATCAATAAAGTATTAAAATAAAATAAAAGGGAACCATTCGCTCTGTTTAATGTTTATTTTCTGTTCCTATTAAAAATGCAGAAAGTAGCATTTTTTCTGAGTTCTTCTTAATCCCAAGGACCTTCCTGCTGTACCCCTTTCCCTCCACACACCCCAGAATTTAATCTGACAAAGGAGATAGTCTACCAAATAAGAAAGTAGTTACAGGGTGCAAGGATGGGATTCCAGCTGTGTAGGAGCAATGTCAGGAAAATGGGTATTTTCAGCAATTGCACTGCAGCTCTGTGCTTCTGGCAGGAGATGTACCACTAGAAAAGAAAGAAAATCATCTTCTGTAGTCAGACACACTTTTCTGACCACAGGTGAGCCAGGTTAACAAGTGCCTGCTCCTCATTGCTCATCCTGCTTGTTATGTGCACCCCAGCCAGGTGTTATTTCCCCCTCAGATATGCTGGGATAAGTGTGTGTGACACATTTCTTTATTCAGCTCAGTTAAAAAACAAGGCTGTGAGCTCTGTGCTCTTTAGTGGTGCAGATGGTTTTTAAAACTCACATTATTTGGGCTGAAGTCTTTCAGGGAGCAGCAGTTTCGATGCAGTTTGGTGTTGAAGGGTGGTGATTTTGGCAGGTGGGCAGAGATGAGCCAGGGATGGGGAGCACCTACTACACTGAGCTGAGGTCAGGACAGCAGTAATACAATGTTAAGTTAAAAAGTTGAATGAAGGAAGGCTTAGGTAATCATAAAGTCTTTATTTTAATAGCCTTTAGGCTATCATGCACTCAAATCTCCCACATACATTGCACAGAATTAAGGGAAAGAAATGCAATGCATTAAGCAGTCTTTCTGGGAAATTAAAGCAAGCACTTAGAGCACTTTATAGGCTTGGCCTGACCTGGCTGGGTGGTATCTTGCAATTTTTCTCAGATCTGCTTTTCAAGACAAAATGGAAAGAGAGGAGAACTGTATTTCTCAGCAGGTTTGGCCTGGGAATTCGCTGTGAGGGAAGAGTGTTCTGCCCCGTGCCAAGGGATGCACTTCAGCACCAGCTGAGAGTTAAGGGTAAAAGGCCTGTTAGTGGTGGTAAATCTCCTTGTTCACATGAGTCTGTGCTTGCTGAGGCCCAAGAGCAGAGCAGAGCACTTGGAAATGTGAAGGATCTCTGTGCAGCCCCAGCAAAGGCTTCACTGGCAGGTGTGTGGCAAGGGCTGAGTGCCTGTCACCTGTAAAATGCCATATTTTAATGAATGAGCTGATGCTTGCAGAACAATCCATACCACAGATAAATACAAATGAGGAGAGTGCAGAGGCTGGATTCCATCTTTTCCCTTCACCCAGATGGGAAGCTTTGGCTGTGCAGCCCCAGGCCAAGCTCCTCCCTTGACTGCTGCTTGGTGAGGGAACAAGGACCAGCCAAAGTGATGCAGTAAAACGAGGAAGGGTTTTGCTCAGGTCTGGCAGCAGGTCAGCTTCAGGGAGCAGGAACATTGAGCAAGATGTTTGTCTTAGCCTAACAAGCTCTGTAGAGGTTTGCTTTCAGTTTTGTTCATTCCATGGATATATTACAAAGTACTGGTAACCAGTTTTATTTCAAAAGCATGTCAGGTTGTACTGGCAGGGAGTGACAGGGCAGCAGAAGAGACAGAGGGATGTGTTTCTTTCCATTCCAGCAAACCTTGAGTGCCTTAGATGCCAGGAGATTTTTGGCTTAGCCCTTGCCTTCAAAACTCTGAATCTGAGTGAGAAGCTGTAGGTGCACGAGGAAGGGAGGTGACCTCAGTGTCACGTTATATATTCACGTGGTTTGCATTTTGGTTTGTGGTTTTTATAAAATGGAAAATGCTGCTTCAAAACATTGGTGAGAGGAGAGAGGGAGGGAGGGAGGCAGTAAAATCCCATTGTGGAAGCAATTGCTCAGGGAGGCCACATGTGCTCACTGCAGTAGAGGAAATAATGAGACAAAAATTAGGGAAGGGAGAGCTAAACTTGCTTTTGCCTCTTCCCCATTCTCCAGATCATGGTTTTGGGCACTGGGGTTTGAGGTTTTGCTTTGGTCCTTAAAAAAGCAGCTCAGGTTTGTGTTCTTGAATTTCTCCATGGAAATGAAAGAAGTATTGAATAGTGGTGGTGATCACTCACAAAAATCTATCAAAATGTCTGTAATGTCTGCGTGTAATTTTGTTTGGTTGGTTTGTTTTACAGATACAAGAATTCTCTTCTGGTTTCTGGACTGGTTCACAGCTTGCATGCTGGGATAGAACTGAAAAACCCTGGTCCTTGTTTCCCAAACTCTCCATTTACCTGAGGGATGAAAACTCCAGTAGGTCGAACCCTGGTCCTTGTTTCCCAAACTCTCCATTTACCTGAGGGATGAAAACTCCAGTAGGTCGTTTCGGATCTCTATCCTACCACAGGTCTCAACCTTCTTTGTTTATTCATCTGTGCATTTATTTTTACTATTATAAAGCACATGCTCTTAAAAATAGGAAAATTTTTCAGGGAAAACAGGCAAGGTTTTGTTTTGTTTTCATGAGCTTTGGCCACATCAGATGTCAATACAGAATGTCTCTGCTTGTTTTGATCTTCTCATTTTGGGAAGGGAATTGATTTGTTTCTCGTGGCATTTTGAGTTGGAGCACTTCTTCTGAATATGAAAATCTTGGCAATGACCCTTTGTGAGCTCTTCACCAGTTTCTGTAACTCACCTGCTTTATCTTTTATTAATATTCCATCCCAACTTTCAGAATATAATATGCCACTTTTGTTTTTCTTCTCTGCCTTCTCCTCCCAGTATAAGTTGCAGTACAGGCTGGTATCCTCTAACATTACTAATACATTCTTTTACCTCAAGGGACAGGCAGGAGCAAAGGAAAGAGTGAACCTATTAAGTACATTTTAACTTGAAATATAGTAAAGCCTTATGATAAGCTTTTTCTCTATTGATCATGTAGCTTGGCAATCATTCATCTTCCCCCAGGAGACAGGGGGTGAAATGTGCCTTGAATTTATAAAATCAAGAGCCTTGAAGCTGACACTGAATGCTCTCTGAATCAACTCCATCCTAATAATTTTTTTAATGACTAATTTAATCTTTAATTTGAGTTAATCTCCCAGGTTCTTCCTCAGCCATCCTTCCCTTATGGAAAATAAGGTGAAAAGTGAGAATCTTGAGAATTTGCTGTTGACCTGCATGTAGTGACTGGCTGTGTTCAAATTTATTTTAGAATCCACTTTACCTCTTACCTGCCTGTTAGCTTTGACCAGTTTTAAATCACGTACAAAAATCTGTTTGCCCCTATCCATTCTCCATTTCCAGTGGAATTTGCATGCCTGAACAATAAAAATGAAAAATTCTGAATTTCCACCTGCTGTGAGGTGTTGCTTTTTACACTCTGGCTTCCTTTTTTTTTTTTTTTTTAATTTTTTTTTTTTTCTTTTCTTTTTAACAGCTTTATATTCAACCCATCCTTGTGATAGGAGATAATTTGCAGTGCTACCGATTCGGCATCTCCTCCTCCACAAACGCTCTGGTCATCGGTGCTACAGTCATGGAAGGATTTTATGTCATCTTTGACAGAGCCCAGAGGAGAGTGGGCTTTGCAGTGAGTCCCTGTGCAGGTAAGAGAAAAATCTCTCAGGATTTGGAGAGTGAGGAAAACTCAGAGAAACACCTTTGCCACTTACCTGTTGGTGGAAAGTGTGGTTACTCCCACAGTGTGAAGGGTGTATTTCAATGAAATTCCAAGCTATTCACATTCCAAAGGAAGATCAAAAAAAAATAATAAAAAAAAGAAAAGAAAATCCAAAACTGTATTGCAGCATCTTTTGGCATGAAGTGAATCAGCCTCGGCTCAGGGTATGTGTGCTGGGTTCTTCCCTCTCACAGGGATGATCTTTCTGGGACATCTGTCTGTGTGTGCAGTTTCCCCAACTGCTACATCAGATGAGTCCCTGTTTCTAATCCAGCTTCCTTTTGGGCTGGTTCCTGCTCTGACTTGTGCATAAATGGATTCTTCAGCCAACTCCTGCAGTGTGAAGTGCCTTACTCACACTTTGCTCTTAATTGAGCCTGTTCAGCCCCTCAGAAATTTGCAGAGAAAGAACTGAGGTGAAAATGGGACTCACATTAAGTGACTCACATTAGTGTTTGTGTTAATTCTAAACAATTACTTTTCTCATCATAAGCAGAAAGCCATTAATGTATTAACTAGCTGCTGAGGAGATGTGAAAAAGCTCATAATTTTTGGCTGCTTTTCCTGTGCTGGTTAGCTTTTATTTCTCTTTTCTCACCAAGGGTAGCTAAAACCCAAAAGCTTTGGTGTTTCCTCTCCTTGTTCAGACGTTGCTTTGACCTTTGACATTGCAAAAACCTCCAAGTGGAAGAGGAGGGAAGGGTGTGCACCCATATCCAGGTCTCTGCCCTGAAAAACATTGTGTCACCTGAGGTTTGTATGAGAAAAGGACTGGAACTGGCAGTGTTTCTGCAAGGTCTTAGAGAATGTAAAGGTAATTAGGACTGGAGTGCTTAATGCAGTCATAGAGGGGAAAAACAGAGATACTGCTGGTTGAGTTGTAGCTCTAGGGCAGTTTTAAAGCTTTTTTATTTTTATTTTGTTTTTAATCTCTCCATGGTTAAGAAGCTGAGACTTGTCAGCTTTGAGCTCTCTCCCAGAGGAAATCTGGATATCGATACAAGCTGGTTTATGGGCACTTCTGTGAGGTGGCACACAGTGATGAAAGTCATGTTTTGAATGCATCTGGCAGGAGAGTGTCACTGGACAAATCCTGCAGGCCAGGTTTTCCTGCCTCTCATTCTTCCTGGTGCCTCCTGAGTGCAGCTGGAGCAAGTGTGGAGCTGCCTGCTGTCCCTGTCCTGGAGGGAGGAAGGGGCATCTGACAGAACTCATTGAGCACATGTGGTCAGCAGGGGACACCAGGCAGCTTCTGTCCATCAGAACTGCTTTGTCAGCCCCTCTTTGTTGAGAGAAGCAATCAGAGAACCATAAAAACACCTCGGTGTTAATATTGCAAGCATAGTCTTACCCCTTCGTGTAGTTCTGCCAGAGAGGAAGAGCTGAGCTTGCTGAATAGAGCTGCCATTGGAATTTCCATGAGCTTGGCCGTGTGGTGACACCCAGCTGGTGCTCCGAGACATTTCCTCCCTGTCCCATTATCCACGTTTTCTGCACATTCCGAGCCCAGCATCACGGGAACTCCCTGAGGAATCAGCTGAGCCCAGACGTGCGGAGCTGCCGGGTTCCACTCACACGAGGCAGATGAGATTTTGCTACTTGTGCTGAGTTTCACTTCTCCACAGCCTGTGGTTTCCACATTTAACAGCACTTTGATGGGAGAGCCACGGCTGCGGGTGGTGAGGGATGGAGCTGCCCAACTGGCTTCCCGTGGAGGCCAGCCATGCCCTCATAGCAATGATATCAGTGGCATTTATTTGGAGCCTTCTGTGGGCATAAATTAAACTGAATTACTGGTGGCTCAGTCTTCAGAAGCAGAGGAATGTTAAAGGACATTCAGTGGCTTTTGCAATGGCCTTTTATGTCTTAGTGTGAGCATTAAATTAAATCTGTGTTTTTGTATGCTGTTAGAGCGGCATATGATGAATAAAAAAGTTATGGGAACAGGACTAAAAGCCTGAATTTCACTGAACTTCCAGGTTACTTTTCAGAATTGGCTGGAGATGAGAACTGGTTTATCCCACATTATTCCTTGGACCATTTTCATTCTCATTCATACCAAGAATGAGCAAAGTTTGATGGCTGCAGGAAGCTACTCCATTGTAGCAGGAAATTTGTCTTTTCCTCGTTACATGAAAGCCTTTAAGACTTATTCAGACAAATAATTTTGAGCTGCCTGTTGATAACCTAGTATTTATAGGACAGGTTTTTGGATCAGGTTCCTTCTTGAGACAGGATGTTCAGATCAACAAGCTGGTCTTAGTGAAGCAACCTGGAAATGTTCAAGGCCAGGTTGGATAGGGCTTTGAACAACCTGGTCTAATGGAAAGTTCCCTACCCATGGGCAGGGAGTTTGAGCTAGGTAACCTTTAAGGTCCCTTTCCAAACAAAAAAATAAGAATAAATAAATAGATAAATAAATAAATAAATAAATATAAATAGTCCTATGGGAAAAGAACTGGGGTTTTGGAAGGCCTTATGCTGAATGGAAGCCAAGTGTCGTGGTTTTAAACCAGTAACTAAAAACTACTTATTTTTTGTTGTGAGATATGGATTAAAACAAGAGCAAAACAGGCTTAAGACTTAAAAGGAATAAAGACAGTTTATTAACAAACTACAAGAATGAGAATACCAGAATAAACTTTCAGAAAACCCCCTTATCTTCTACATCTTAACTATTTCTCTGTACACATGACAA